AAGTGGTCTTTGATTTAACAGTAAAGGTTTTGTCATTTAGGAACACACTTGGCTACATACCATTCCCACTATATATGGACGAAATTCCCATGTTATTATTCAACAAAATCAAAGACTTTTACAATACAAAACAAAGCTTAATCCCTCATCCATGTGCCTGCCCAAAAAGTCTTTGATTGAATAGTAATATCTTGTCCTATTACTCACCAAAAGTCAAGCCATGTTGTTTCGTTTATTCTCCCACCTTAAGGACGAAAATCATACATTAAGACCACCCAAAATACATGCCAAATCCCTGATCATTAACCTTGAATTCAACTCATTTGGGATATTAACACATGCACAGCATTTGTTTTATTTTGTAGGAAAGAAGTGGGAAGTTTCCTTTGTTGTATTTTATTTATCATGTTTGTTGTATTGTTTTCTCCATTCCATAGCCTATATATTTCAGCCCTGGTTCATTGTATTAATCAGCTTGTAAAATATATATTGTGATAATACAAGTTTCTTGCTCAGCTCTCTCTCTCTTTCTAAATTCTATATATTAAATCCTAATTCTATATTGGTTCTCTTAAGTGGGAGTATTAGGTTCTAGATATATTAAATAAGTTGAGTGATTCCTTATTTAAATACTAGAGTTTAACCCGAGTGAAGATAAGTATGTGTGATTCCTCTTATATTCACTTGATAAATGTTTCTTTCCCTCTCCCTTGCTAAATCTTCTTCACATAACCAACCACACCCTTCTTTCCCTACACCTTGTTCTTTTAAACCATGTCTCACACAACTCAAAACATGTCCCAAGAAGAGCTTATTGCTTCCAATGCAGAATTGAAGGCTCAAGTTGAATACTTGGCAAAAGAAGTGGCAAAGCTCACTAAATTCAAGATGACTATGGTTCAAACTCCTGAAGAAAGTGAAGATGAAGATGATGCTAGTTCTGTTGTTACCATAAGAACTAGAAATCCAGAGAAGTCAGCCTCTGATTTCAAGGTTGACATGCCCACTTTCGAAGGAAAGAACGACCCTGATGACTTTCTTGAATGGTTAGAGACCGTAGAACGTGTCTTTGACTTCAAGAATGTGTCCGAAGAGAAGAAGGTCAAACTCGTGGCCTTAAAGTTCAGAAAGTATGCGTCAACATGGTAGACCAACGTCACCATTAGGCGTAGAAGAGAAAACAAGTCCCCGATGACCTCGTGGAACAAGATGCGAGCACTCTTGAAGAAGAAGTTTCTGCCCGAGAACTACATACGAGAAAACTTTGCTAAGCTTCAACACTTGAGGCAAGGCTCTCGTTCTGTAGAGGAATACAACCGAGAGTTCGAGGAACTCTTATTAAGGTGTGATCTTCAAGAAGATGATTCACAAACTTTTGTGAGGTATGTATTTGGATTGA